CCCAGCAGCAGGAGCGGGTGTGCGAGTGAATGGGTGAGTTAGTGCCAAGCAGCCAGCTTGCCACAAATTATTTGACAAAAATTTTCTTTTTCTACATTTGTACGTTGACTCGGTTTTTTCCGATTTTTTTTCTCTTTGATTTTTTTTTTGCTCTCATTTTTGCTCTGCATTTTAGGCGCGCAAAATCAGGCCAGGCCAACTTGTCTGCCTCGGCCGAGACAAATGGACGTCGGACAGGTTGCCACACATTGTTCTAATTGAATGAATGTTGCACAAGGTGCAACGATGATAATGCTGATTATTGTTTTGCAATTCTTTTGTTTGTTTTCATCCAGATTTGCTACACATTTTGTAGGTATTTGTACAAGATTCTGATTCTGCGAAGGGTGCGCCTTGGAAGCATTGCAGGATTTTGTAATTCTAAGAATTCTCTGTAAGCCAAAAGACAATTTCGAATTGTTTCGTTACATTAATGATTTCTTGCTATGTCAACTTTTTGAAAGACCCTAAAAAAATTGAGTTGCAAGGTGTTGTCTGAAACGGCAAAAACGCGCGAAATGTTGCTTTCTTTGAAAAATATTGTGTTTTTGTAAGTTTATGCCTTTTTTTTGGTTTATTTTTTTCTTATAAATTTTTTTTTTATTTCTATTTACAAATATATACATATGTATATTACATTATATTACGTATATTAGTGCGGGTCATTTTTTTTTTTACTATGCGCGTATAACGTAGGAGAATTCTACGTGTAATTCTAAGCAAATTTTGCGAAGAAACCATGGGTCTAAAAGAAAAAAATGTATGTAGGTAGTTCCCACCAGTTTGAAAATTTCAGTTTAAGTTAATTTGTAAGACAAATTGATAATTGCAATATGGGTGTTGGGAGAGTTGCCACCTTTTTGAAAAGTTCAATGTAATTGAATTAATAAGATAAATTAAATATTACATAACAGGTATCAAGCTGAAGAGTTTTAGGAAAGCTTGCAGCCGAAAATATTTCCGGGGAGGGTTGCCACCTTATTAAAAAAAATTATTTAATTAAACTGGTAAGATAATTAAGTATGGATATCAAACTATAGAGGTTTAAAAAGGCTTCCAGCCGAAAATATTTCCCGGGAGGGTTGCCACCTATCTGAAATTTTTAATTTAACAAATCTTATAAACTGCCAAGCTATTGCAATATTTTCCAGGCGGAGGTATTGGCAATAAGAGGGGCGGCGGAGCTACTGAATAGCGCTCCAGAAAACAAATTTTTTTACACGTTATTTACATGAAATTTTGAAATGCCCACAGACACCTTTTAAAATTGGAATAAAAATTTTTCCAAATTGGAGAATTTTCTTCTCAATAAATATGTAGGATCTTTTAAGGCCACAAAATTGGTTAGGTTAGATATTTTGGTTCACCCTAATCTACATACATACTAATTTTTTAGGTACATTCGTCGGCTGTTAGGTATAATTTCTTCTTCAAATTAAGTACAATTTAGAGATTTGATTTTCCATCACTTATCTATATTTGGTTTACTTTTTAAATCTTTATTCTTCTTTCATATGCCTTTTAACCACTTATGCTTCATTGTCTTCGTTTTAAACCCTTCTACTCTGCACCAGCACATCCTTGCACCTTTCACTTTCACCTTCACCTGCGAACACATCCTTTATTTGCGTAGGTGCCATTCATATCCCCCCACACAAAATCCATCATTCAACCGCAACTCAACACTTTACAATCCGAATGAGAATGACAAAAGCATACAATAATTTCCGACACATGTATGTACATGTGTATGTAAGTAAGTATACAAATAAACGAGTACACAAATACTACATATGTACATACATCAGACTACTGAAAATCCTTTCAGAGCATGCGCGCGCACATTTCCTGTCTTCAGCGCATTGCACATGGCAATGCAATCCTTTTTCTTCTTCTTCTTTACTTCAATACTGCATGTATTAATAATTTTTATTTTTAGAAAAAAAAACGAAAATAATGCTTACACAAAGGCTTTCTTCCAGCAAGCCAACTGAATGAAGAATTTGCTGAAAAAAAGTACGTGGTGCGGATATTGTGCACTCGCTTGTTCCATATTGGCGTAAGAGCAGGTGTTGTTCATGGTTATGAATTCAAATATTTGCTTTGCTTTAGCTGCATGACAAAGCAGTTTTAAGGAAGTATTACAGGCTTTAAATAACATATCATCACTTAATGTAAAATAATGTCTCAGCTTTGTTTTATGTTGCACTTGTGGGAGGCAAAAGAAAATGCAAGAAATATGTACTCTTGAACCATTTTACACACATATATATGTAGATATATGTTGAGAATTTTAGTCCAAAACAAAGGCATTAATCCTTGTAAAGAACAGTTTTAGTGTTAACTTGTTAGTGCCAGTTTTGTATACTAAAAAGTATAAAGAAATTTTTTGAAATCGCTCAGACCGAGGATTGAACCTTAGTCCAACGGAATTATCGCAGGCCTCTCACCACTCGGCTACCGCGTACGTACGCCAAACTCGCTTGCTTGGTTTGCATACTTACACAATAGACAACAGCTGGCCGTTTGGGTAAGTGTTGTCATCGAAAATTCTCCAGATCTGCATTAATTTAAAAGATTAGCTGCAGGACTTAATTCGGATCAACTAAAACTTGCAGGCGCCTGTTATTACAGTACTGATTTTCCAGCTGGAGCTGCCACCACACAGCTGTATGGGGAAAACAGTGGATTTTAAAAGCTGGAACTCAGATTATTGTTTCGCTATACCTCGGCGGCATACATAGAACCTCGATCTTATTAAAGTTGATTCTCAGGCCTGCTGAAAATAGAAGAAAGAACGGAACGGGCTAAGTGAGTTTATTCGCAGCAGTCGCAAAACCGTGATAACCTACTCCTTTTTTGGAAGTCGGTTAAAATTGACGCACAGGAAATGGAAAAAAAAATGCTTCTATCAAAATATCCGAAATCAGTATGCAGCTCTTAAGAAAAGAATGCTCGTATATCTATTTTTTTAAGAAAATTTATATTAACCGCAAAGTACTTTTACTAGCAGCGAAAATATTGATAAATATGTATTGCGATTTTTCTTGGGAGCTGCGTAAATGAGCAAAAAATTAAGCTAAAAAAGCTAATCAAAATTTTAGTTATGGTTAAGGAAAATAGCTAAATTACCAAATCAAATATTTTTTTTGGTCGTCATTATAACTTCAAAACAGTGTCAATATTTAAGAAAAAATTACGCATTCTTGTAAACCAATACTTTAGTATCCTCCACATAAACTAACCAACAAGAAAGTACTCCCACTCTTTACCCGGTGAGTACAACTCCAGGGTACCTTTCCTGGCCAACTTCTCCGCAACGCGATTCCCTGCAATATCGATATGGCCTGGTACTCAAATGAGTCTAACCGGGAAAATTGCCTTGCGAAAATCGAGCAGTTTAACTGACATTTGACTGATTTCTTAATGCTAGCTCTGACTGATGTTGTCGCCCTGCATGAAAGAACCATCCATCGCCACTTCCGTCAAGCATCGACCCATCCGTGTCGTCTTGGCAGTGTCGTCTTACCAGTGTCGTCTTGCAACTACTGCTTCCCATTCGTCTATTGCTAAAGGTGGGTGAGTCGCGAAAAAACTGAAAACCAGTCTACCCACGCAAATCTCGGAAAAGGCCAGTATGCATCTCTCAAGAAAAGCAAAGAGTTCATATAAAATGACGTACAAGAAATGGGTAAGAAACTTTCTTGTGAAAAATTTTCTTGAGGCAGTACGCAGTTCTTAAGAAATTTTCTCCGCTTTCTACTACACTTTTCTAAAGTTTGTTTTGTGAAAAAAGAGCACAAGGTAACCCATGCTTGGACCAGAAATATATACCCGTTCCATTATTTCTTGAGGAAAGAGTGATGCAACAGGCTGGTGAAGTATCAGATGTCAAAATTCCTTGGACACACACACACGAAATAAAGGCAATGTTTTTCTTGACCGTTTTCTTGAGAGCTGCATACTAGCCTATAAAATCGAAGAATCAGAACAAACTTCTGCCTTTCGTGACTCGGCGCAAAAAATTAAAAAAAAAAGTTCCGTACGTCACAAATCGGAGTAATTTCGCAAATAAAGAAGACCATAGGCTGCCCGCTTCACCCGAACTACTACCCTAACGTTAGTCCCACGGTAGGAGATAAACGGAGCAGAAGTGGTTTTTTAGTGGTGTGAGCCGAAAGGTGAGTCCTTCCATTTTCCGCTTTCAATACGTAGTACCACAAAGTATTCGATTATGGGGAAAATCGACCAAATCAAATATCTCGACGACGAGAATAGACAGCGTAATAGATGTAATACGGAAAAATAATAAGAACGAAAAATGACACTGAAGATGGCACAACGCCGAAACCGGTTTGACTGCAAACCAAACTTGACAAGGGATGACGGAAATTCGTTCCAAAATAAATCAGATGTAATAGTATTTTTGAGAGGGAAAATTCAAGAAAAATGGTCTGCTTTAATGAAAGAATTTCTTTTACCTTTAAAATAGCCTTGAAATATAGAGGGTTTTTAATTCTTTCTTTTTTTTTGTCCTAAACCAGAACGCAATGCAATTTTTGAACGTTTTAAACACTTTTGCTGTTCTTGCGTCAAGGAAAAAGACTTTTAAATTTTTTTAATTCATTATGCCGAATTTTTATTAAAATTTTTACCATTTAAGCCCAATTTCAGATGGCCACCGCTGTTAAGAAAAAAATTTTTTTTCTATATTTTTTTGCGATTTTTCTTTGACTAGAGCTTGAACCCAGGCCCTGGCGAGTGGTAGCGCGCACTGTTAAGCACTACACCACAGCGGTCGCCGCTTTAAAATACCATTGCATTTATTTCGCAATCTCTTCTCGATCTAGAGATATTTTATTTTGACACTCTGTGCGCCACCTCTAAACTGCTGCCGATTTTTTTTTTTTTAATACAAAAGACTTTCATTAAATTTGTTTGCTTGCTTCTATGTATTTAAATTTAGTGTCCTCCATTTTATAAAAATAAGCTTATAAATAGCCAACTTATAAACTATTACAACAATTTGTATAGTTTTTCTTTATTAAAATTGCTTACACTAAAATTTTTATATAAAAAGTTTAAGTCTAAATTTGTATTCTTATGAGCAAATTTGGTCGAGTGCTGCTTCTGGTAAGTTAAATTAACTCAAATATACACTTGAAATGAAAATAAAATTCTTTAAACAAAAAAAAAAATATAAAAAAAATAATTCAAAACTACAAACAAAAGTTTTAAATAACAAACACAACTTAAAAGAATTTTTCGAAATTCCAAATAAAACGAATTCGACTAGAACTTATAAAACATAAACTCAATGCTGCCACAAATGCGATTACATAAATAGAAATTCAATAAGTTACACTATTTACACTTAAAAATTAAAATAAATTTACATACAAATAAATAAAATTGAATGCAATTCAAATAAAATACTGAGTATTTCTTTTACCCACTCCGCACTGCTGCTGGCACTTTTTCGTAGGTACGCGTAACGTTTTTCCAAGGCAATTATTGTCGCTCAATTCACGAACGTTCAATTCACTTCAAACCTCAACACGCCGCACGCTAATCTACACAATTGTAATGGTGCAATTGGAGCTAGCGTGCTTGTTGAGCAGCGACATGCGCGAGAAGGATTTGTTGCATACCTTGCAGGCGTACCGCTTCACCTCGACATGCGTCTGCTGGTGGGCGCGCAAATTCGAGCGATCGGCAAACGAGCGCGGACAGTCGCTGCAATGGAAGGGTTTCTCGCCGGTGTGTGTGCGTATATGGCCCTGCAATAGCCAAGGGCGCGAAAAAGCCTTACCGCAAATGGGACATTTGCAGGGCAATGTATGGGTGCGTATGTGCATCTTCAGAGCGCCGACAGTGGTGTACAACTTGCCACACTCATGGCATGAATGTTGCTTCTTATCCTGATTGCAAACGGCGGCAGGGCAATGGAATTGCTGATGCTTGGATAGACCAATCGAGGTGGAGTACATTTTGCTACACTTATCGCATTTGTAGCGATAATTCGCATGCTTTTGTGCCGCATTGGAGCTTGCGCTGTGGTGAGCCGAGGCAGCGCTATCATGGCACTTTAGCGATTTGCTGCCGCCGCTGCTCGAGGACGATGCAGACAATGCCAGTTCGGTGTGATGATACAAAGCTGGCAGTGGTATATCATTGCGTACACTAAGATCCTCAGGCTCTGAGCCAGCTTCCGAACCCGGACTGGATGGTGGTGTCATATGTTGATAGCTGTACGCCGAACGCGGTGAGGTGGCGATCGAAGAGGCTGGCGAAGGAAAGATCGAGCTGAGATTGCCACCGCTCAACGCTGGTTGGTAGGCGCTCCAAAGCGCTGTCATCGGTGTTGCGCCAGCGGCTAGCATGAAGGCTGATTTGTAATTGGTGGAGGCTGTGGTGTAGCCGCTGGTGGCAGCGGTCAGACCACGCAAATGTATGTTGGCTGGCTGGTGTGGGTGATAGTCTGACTCGTCGTAATCCCCAGCCGGCGAAAGCATAGCCGACGATGATGTCAAAGCAAACTCCGCGTTATGAAGTGAGTTCACAGAGTTGGCCGGCGAATCGGGACGGTAGTGCCGGGTTGGTATAGACAATGGCGCCTCCGGATAGCTGCACTTGGAGAGATTGAGCACATATTCACGCTTAGCGGGCACGCTGTAGTCTGCAAAGTTCACGCTGGCTTTACGTTTCAGCGAAAGATCTTGCGGCTGTTCGTCTTGGAGGTGCTCTAGTTGCGGCTCCTGCTTGATGGTGGTGACGCTGGCCACTTGGAAGGCAGCCGCTGCGGCGTAATATTGTAGCGGTGCAATCGCAATCGCGGGGAGTACTGTTTCCTTTTCGCCTGCTTGCTCGTACTTGATGGGTCGCTTCTTGAGCGGACAACTTTTGTATTTTGTGGTTGTATCCTGGGCGGCGTGTGTGGTGGCCATTTTCGGGGATGTGTGTTCTTTTGATATATAAAGTATAGATTTTGCACTTGATATTTTAATAAACTTTTTAACTGTTTTTTTTACGTTTTTTACTCTTTTTTGTCGAGCTGTGTCTATTTCACAAATAGTATTGCGCACTTTTTTATTATTGTCTTTTACTATTCTCTCACAATGAAAAAAATCAAAACAGCGCAGCGACGAAGTTCGTCTTCAGCACATGAAATTAATTCGATTTAGATTTTTTTATTTTGTTTTTATTCTTCAAAATTTTCGATGTTGTTCCTCACTCTGCGAGCACTGCTGCTGCTATGACAGGTTCGTTGACAGGCCCTGGTCTTTTATAGTTTGCCTGTCTGGCGACGCAATGAGCATTTAAGGCAGATTCTACTCAATTGATTGCCACGGCCACGGCCAGCGCGCATTGATGGTTGGTTGGCTTGCTGGCTGGCTGGCAGACGGTGGTGGTGGTGGTGGTTCTGCTGTCCAAAAAAAAAAACACAAACTCCGTACAACAACAACACTTATGCGCTACCTACTCTACTCTACTCTACTCTATATTCACTCGAGCGTATTCCCCATATATTAAATTGTTGTTGCTTGTGCTGCTGCTATTGCGTTAACAATTCAAAACAATAATAGTTTTTCCCCCTGATTGCGTGCTTTCCATATACCATGTGGAAAAAACTGTCACAGCAGCTAGCTCTACCTACTCTATAGCTAGATACATATGTATATGTAGCTGTTGTAGCAGGCACTCACACGCACACGCACACATGCAGTCGCATACGCATCATCATACACGTGCCCATTCATTGGGAAATTACGTCGTCGAAATCCCTTAATGCATGCGCAGACAGCCAACCACCACCGAGCCAATCGACCAGTCGAGCTGTAGACGAGCGAGCTGGCAGCAACACAAGTCTCTAGTACCTGTGTGTTGCTGTATTGCTGCTTGAGTGTAGTACCAAGCATCCTCCAACTGGTCTCAATCGGCTATTTTTGAGTTGTAAACCTTTATTTGCCATTAACCTACCCTCTGGTGTTCAGCAATCAATCAACTGTTTCTAGCCACAGACGCCTTTTCAGATTAGAACAGGCGATCGTGAGTGAGAGATTGCTTAATGCTAGAAGTCTGTATATAACTCAGAATCCACTCACTCAAACTCAAGAGCCCAGTGGGTCATTGGCGCGTCCTGTTCGCTAATGACTCAACTTCACTGATATCCTAACCCTCCAATTTTACGCACTCAGCTCCGCTTGCCTATTCTGGTCTTAGCTGACGTCACTCCTTCCAGTGCTGCTGCCGTACTGGTGTGCACAGTGGGCCAGGAGGTCAAAATTTTTGACAAAAAAGGCATTTCTTAAACAATGTTTAATTTAAAAGTGGTTCTCTTGCTTGCACCCAAAAAATTACATAAATAATACGAATTACTTTTGGAGAAGTGTACTTTAACTCCGATGTGTGCATTTTGATTTTAACACAAAAAAAAATGGTTTTGTGTCGAAAATAGCTTCTCCTGTTATGGCATCGAGTAAGGACTACGATCTTTATAAGTTAGAGGTTTTGTAAAAAGTGAAATAAAATCTATGTAATTTGTACGTATGTATTTTAAAACAAAAGAAACATAAAATCTTATACATATGTATATCAAAATGAATTGCTGTCCGTTAGTCTCGCTAAATATCGAAAATGGCTGGAGCGATTTAAAAAATGTTTTTCCTGATCTGTTCTCTATAATACCCGCTTAGAAAAAAATTTAGAGAGTTGCCACCTTACTCCAAAATATAGGTGGCAACCCTATTACGAAATACGCTGGAATGAATGGTACATATCTTGAGCGTATATGTACTGTGTATACATAAAAAAGAAGCTGAATGAAATTAACAAAACTAAAATGTGTATTATATAGAAGCGTGGCAACCCCGATGGAAAATACTTTCTGACCAAAGTTCTCAACAATAGCTTTCATACCATCCATAACTGAGATAAACTGTGACATGTTTTAGATAAATTGTGTAGAATCGAAAATAAGTGGCAACCTTACACTATTATCCTAAGGGATACAATTTTGTATTTAGGGAAAGCCTTGTTTAAGAACCTTCTCTTGGCAGCCACGAATAGTAAGATTTTACCTTTTTTTCAAACGAAAAAATTAAATAAATGTACGATTCAAAATAGGCAACCCTATTAAAAATATTTTTGAATTAGGGATCTTTAAAATGTTTTAATTAATTGGTAACTAATTTCGAATAGGTGGCAACCTTATGTCTTCTCGGAGATAGTGCCTATTCAGATAACCTTAAAACCCAAAATATCATCTTTGTACAAATTTTCATCAAAATCGTTAGAGCCGTTTCCGAGAACCATATGGATATATGTATATGCAAGAATTGCTCGTTTAATGAAATAAGAAATGTCATAATGGGTGTCAAAAAAAAGATGTTTGGAAGAAGTGTTCGATGTAAAAACTGGAGTCATAAGATAATACATATATTAAATCTACAAGAGAAAGTCAATACGTTGCCTATTTTCTAAATACTTTCGAAAATAACTAACCTAAGTATATTAGAGTGGTTCAACAAAACGTATTTTTTTATTTTGAAAAAAAAAGGTTTTTTAGAGGTCGCTCTTTTCTTCAAAATTAAAAAATACATGTATCTTTTCTTCACACAAATAACAATATTTTGTTGTGTCGTTTATGAATTTCCAAAAAGAGTGTTTTTTGAACCACTTTAACCTATGTTCATAAAAAGTAAGGAATGCTTCATATATCGACAGTTTTTTTTTTTAAACTAACTTTACAACGCTCTTAAAATCCATTTTGTTTTTTATGAGTGAGGCTATACGAGATTTGAGAGGGAGTAACAGCACAAAAATACCAAGGCGCAGCGAAGCACGCAATAGGAAGATCTATTAAATTCTTATATTTCCATGACCGCCATATTGAATTCGTAATTGAAAGTTGAAAGTTTCTCGTATTGCTGGAGTTATTAATTTTGCCAAAATCTTACTGGGAAAGTACTGGCATTACCGCAATAGTGACGATATTTCAGTTTAGAACAGGCGATCGTGTGTGACAGATCGCTTTTGGAAACCCAGACGATATTTCTATGTACACATTACTTCACTCTCACTCAAACATAAGTTTTCTCTGCTACTCAACTCAACTCAATTCAACTCAACTCACCCCTATTTAGTCAATTGCCATTCTAAATACTCTTCCGTCCAACTTCACGCACTCACCTCTGTCCCTTTCCAGCCTAAGCTGACGTCACTCCTTCCAGTGCTGCTGCTGAGTACTGGTGTGGTGTGAAAAATCATAACATTTCCGCAACACCTTTTCCCAATTATCTCCGTCCCTTCTGTTTAGCTATGGATTTCTCCCCACACAATTCGTCTAACTACATATTTGATCTCCTGCGATCGACCGTTCGAGCAATCCACCGATCGTTGGCTCATTTAATTTTTGACACTTTTCCAGCTCAATTACACTGCTTCTATTTCGAGATAGCTGCCCGCCTGCCCGTCGCTTCACACTGTTGACTGCTGGCTGTAATAACTTGTCAAAAATGTGTCCCCCGGGTGTGCGTGAATAGAAAGTGATCCAACGCTCCCCAGTTGATCGCACACATGTCCGTGCGAAAAACAATTTTCATAACTCAAGTGAGGCGAATAGGTGTAAGGAGATTACACTGCTTGTTGCTGTAATTGGAATTTATTTTGTAAATTTCATATATTCCCCCGAGCAGGTAAATAGGCACCACCACCACCACCACCACCACCACCACTCAGTTTACGGTACTTGTTTGTAAGCTGTTCCATTTCTATTTTATTTAATATTTACTTACATACTTTCCCCTCCAAGAAATTTTCTATTGTTTCCCCTATTTCCCAGCTATTTTCAAATTTTCATCACATTCGAATTAGAAACTGGAATGCATAAGCATATAAGACAAGACACACACACACATACACTTGACACATAAGTATATGCGTATGTGCGTTGCGTCTTGCTGTTGCATTTGGGGTTGCTTTTCCAGTGAAATATTGTTTGCTGGCTGCATGGTGCTGGTGCCACACGAAATGCTGCACACATGGCTACAAACCTTCGTACGAGCATACATACTACATACATACATATGTGACGGTGGAATAGCCCGCGTGACGACTCTGTGCTGCTTCTTCTGTGGCATTTTTCTTCTTCCCCTTCTGCTGCCATCACCACTAGCGCTGCTGCACCTCAAAAGTCTCGTTGTCATGCAACATCTGTTTTTAATGAACTGAATTTTTCGTGTTCGTGTTCACGGAAAGTTTCCGAATTCTTGGTGGGAAATTATGCCGTTTCTTTGATTGTCTGCATGCTTGTGTATAAGGTTTGGTAAAGTTAAGGAAATACTCCTTAAGACTTCTGGTCAAGTTTTCTTCTGCATATGGGTATTTCTTTTACACTTACATATGTATATATTTACCTTAATAGAGAGACCAGAGTACATATCGCACCCTAAGTCAAAAACCGGCACAACTCGAAATTTTTCAAAATTTATTTTTTTCCATTAAACAGTTCACAGACCGTATACCCAACGTCCGTAAAATTTCTTCTTCATCACTATCTTCTTTAACTGGAAAAATACTGCTAAAACTTTTTGGTTTTGCTTGCGTCGATTGCGCAGCATCAACAGTTTTTTGCCTCTCCAGAACATTTAGGATTTTTTGAGTTGTGACGGTTTTTGATTTAGTGTGCGATATGTAGATGTTATTCACATTGCATTGACACGGCTAGTAAAAGAAGAGCACCCTACGTGCACAAATGGCAACTGTTTCTGATGATAACTTCTGCTGATTTTCTTTGAGACATACATATATGTAATACCGTTCAGATTTGTGTTTATCCAAAAACTGTCATGTTTAGTCCAAAAACTGTAGAAATTGAAAAACCGCAATTTTCCAAACCGTTTGCAGAATAGCAAAAAACTACGACAGAGAGCGCCCGCAAATCACGCAAGTGACTACTTTAGTAAACAACTCCCGGTAGTGCAGAGAGAGCCGATGGTGGCTACCGTCTAGGACATTGCCTTGTAAAAGTATGTAATCGATGAAATAAATACGCTGCAAGTAGACGGTCGGTAATTGACGAAGTTTACCTGGTAGCTACCGATTCAACAGTCCTGTAGTCGCTCCCCCGTACTGCAGGTTATCAATAGTTTGTACTAAGTCACTTTTGTTCATAGCCTGTAAGTATTCAAATTCATAGACCTAATTAAATAAATTATAGGTATGGATAACGCTCGTATCTATATTTTTT